GTGTCTAGATTTACACTGACAATGTAGGTGCTCTTCTCAATTGTCTAATATCTCAAAAATATCTCTCAATGTTTATCGTTGGGCAACCAAACGAACTCAAAGTTTCAATTTTTACCAAGTAGCCGTATGGCCACAAGTATTTTTTTCCAGGTAGCCAGTGGTAAAATTAGGAAGTCAAGCTAATAGTGTAGGTAGCCAAAAGCATTTGAAATTATCTTTAATCAAATAACTATTATTGTATATTAGTGGAAACTGTACTTCAGTTTTCTTATTTGTGACTCAAATGATGCAATTTATGTTAGTAGATTATATAGGCATTTCCTTGCTTATCCAATAAACTATCAACTAAAATAAAATACTAATTACATTAATATTTATGTATTTCAGTTAATTGTTGACTTTAGGAGGAATTATTTGCGAGTACAATTATAGGCAGACATGTTTATTTTTGTGTCTAAAGATGTATAGCAGTAGAATTTAGTCGCCACAAGATATTTTTCAAGGTAGTCATTTGGCTACCTCTGAATTTTAATCAGTAGACAAATTAAAAATTGGCAACTTTGAGGCCTGCCAAATGATTTATAAATGAGGTATTGATGAAGGGTCACATTACAGGTAGACACATTCGTATAGAAACAGTCATATACCCAGTCAGTTACAGTTGTGAAAGCAAAATCAATGTTCTAACTAGAGTAGTGGTTGTGAAAGCGTTATCAATGTTCTAACTAGAGTTGTGAGGAAAGTGGCAGCAGATGGGGTCCAGGGGTCACGAACAATATCAAAACATCGAACCTGGTTACTAGTGCATCCTTCGAATAAACATTATTTAACACTAGCCGGGAGACGTGCTCAGTGGAGCTCGATATGGCACAGAGGCAAGAAGCAGTGTTTTTGTCATTTCCATGTCAACAGGCTCTGTTTACAATGGCTACCACAATAACAGTCTCTTGAAACTAGTTCATTCACACGTAGTACTACAGGACTGAAGGGTAAAATATTGGTGACAATACATTCGCCACAGCCTATCAAACCTGACCCGTAACAAAATAAATCGATTTACAAGCTGTTGACCGACATATTTGAACAGCGATGAACAAATTTCACTCCTAAAATATTTGTCAAAGTAGCTGTGACTTTAGCATTATTTGATTATTACCAAGCATGTTAAGCTATCATCCCCAAGCAATATTCAGTGTTCCTGTTTCTGGTAATTGTCTGTTTTTTACCGTTAAAATTAGGCTCGGACCGGTAATTCATGTGACTGCCAGTCACTGTGGACCGACAAATAACGTAGCTTATAAATCTGTGATATTCATAGAAGTCAGCTTGTCTGTAACCATCAGGGTGTCCCATTTGTCATTTTTAAGTGCAAGGAAATAACATTTGCTTTGAGGTTAAAAGTATATTTGTAGTGACATAGTCTTGAAATATTAAAAAAAGATGAAGAGAAAATTGTGACTGAACTTTGTGTGAATGGTGTGTAGATCTAACTAAGTTACTTCAGAGATGACGTTATAACAGAGATGAATTATAACAACTTTAACATCGCTTTTTTATTTGTTGAAGTTGGGACTGACAAAAATTAGGAGGGGACTGGTAATTCTTAAAGTTTCAAAAGCCAGCGGGATCACTGATACTACCATTACAAAAATAGTATTAATTAATTTTGTGGCAGATAAACGAACAATGCTTAGTGACATACGCTTAATGCAGTGATGAAACCTGAATGTCCACAGGGAATATTAAAGGTGGTTGATTAATTACAGTACAGGCAATGTAAAGAAGCAATTAGGTTTGAAATATGACAAAGGAATGTTTCTATTTTTAATGTTTTTTGTTTGTTTGTTGTTTAACGCCACACTCAGCAATATTCCAGCTGTATATGACGGCGGTCTGTAAATAATCGAGTCTGGACCAGACAATCCAGTGATTAATATCATGAGCATCGATCCACGCAATTGGGGTGAGTGAGTTAGTGAGTGAGTATGGTTTTACGCCGCTTTTAGCAACAATATCCAACAATATCACTGCAGGGGACACCAGAAATTGGCTTCAAACATTGTACCCATGTCAGGAATCGAACCCGGGTCTTTGGCGTGACGAGCGAACGCTTGTAATGTTAAAACAATGGGGAAATTGTAAAATTTGTACTTGCCCGCAGGAATTTGTACAAGCCCTGGGCTTGCAGGCTATTGTTTAATTCTAACCCTGAGGTGTATGGATGGTTGCATGGGTAGGCGGGTGGATGAATGAATGTTTGGGGGGGGGGCTTGATGCACTACAACATTTTATTTCTCGATACTATTGCGTAAATCTACGTTGCCCTGCTACATCTACAGGCAACAACCCACTAGATACCACCTCTAAAAATCAATGTGGTCCAATTTACAGCTTCAGTTTCAAGTGCATGTTCGAATCTCGAGAAATGGCATCATGTTATTTCAATGTTTTATTCTGCAATAAAGCATGCCTTGTTCTTCATTGTTCTTTGTGATTTATCCATAGCCATCTTATATTTGTGAACATAATACGTCTCTTTCACTGATTTACCATGAGACACAAAAATAAAAAATATTTTTAAAAATTCAAAATAATTAAATCACAGCATTTATTACAATTTTCTTTTGTAACACGGGTACTAAACAAATATTACATTTAACAGGTGCAGGTGATGAAACGCTCGATATCATTATCATCAATCACTTCAGTTGACAGATTCAACCTCAGCAGAGATAAGACCCAACAGAGCTACACAAGGAAAAAGAAAGTTAGGTCACTGAAAGTAAACTGTCAGGTCAATTACAGGTCATGGTTCGACAATCAGGTCACACTCTGGCTCAACAAGCCATCTCATCATAAACATGATGAACAGTGACCTTCAAAGTAACAAAATCCAGGCACGGAGTTAAAAGTTGAAAATTAACGCATCTGTAGAATCTAATTTTAGCAAACACAAAGGACACTAGGCCCTACCTTATCTTCAAACACTGATTTAGACATGATAAAATTCCTATTTTGTTCTGCATGCCAGGTATTTAATACATTTTCTCCACTGGGCTCCGTTTGGTACTTAAACATGTTAAACCAGTTGTTGCCATCTCTACCAGGATTTTTCTGAACTCAGTCTTTTCGCACTCAGCAATATTCCGGCTATGTGACAGCGGTCTGTAAACAATCGAGTCTGGTCCAGACCAGGGAATCCAGTGGTTGACATCATGAGCATCAATCTACATAACTGGGATGCGATGACATGCATCAACCAAGTCAGCAAGCCTGACCACCCGAGCTCATTAGTCGCCTCTTATGGAAAACATGGCTTGCTGAAGACCTAACCCGTATCTTCACAAGTGGGTATCATTCTTAGTAGGTAGTGACATTTAAATGAGCTTTCAGTGTTCGAAAATTAACAAGAAAGTGGCATTGCCATAGCAACTTATAACAAGAGGGTCACTTAATTACAGATTTTCAGTACTGGAGCAAACCCTGAGCCCCAGACAACTTTAAGAGCAATTGAGTGTTTACTCAACGGTTTCTATTCTAATTGGTTTATTACATTTTTCATTGGGTAACCAACATCTTTTCACTCATCTATTCATCACTCTATTGGTTTTTTCCCAAAATGTATAAACATTTTGAGACTTAAAAAAGTTAAATAATGTTTTTAGATGTATATAACGGTTCTAAATATAGGCTTGACTCGGAAAGGAAATCAGCCCGTAATTGTGTTTCGGAAATTAGCTCTGCTGTATGCGGGCTGTTTTGATACATTAGAGTATTTTATGTAATACATGCGTTTCTGTTTGCAAATTAATTGAAAGTAATTGGGTTTTGAATTGGGGGGGGGGGGAGATACGCCAATATGCATCTTATCTGAAAACCTCAATGGACCATGGCACCCCCTTAATTCAAACACAACTTTTCTTTGTGAGCGAGTGAGGTTTTACATTGCTTTTAGCAATATTCCAGCAATATTACTGCTGGGGACACCAGAAATGGACTTCACACATTGTACTCATGTGGGATTTTCTTTTTGAGATGAACTTACTCGACCAGACATTTTTGGACATGTTGCTGGGGCTGCACACTACTATTTGAAAAAATATTAAAACCAAAAGAGTGTTTCATAAATATTGTTTGAAGTCCTGGAATATATTCCCGCCTGATGATATTTATAATTGTTTGTAGTCCTGAATATATTCTTGCCTAATGTCATGATGTCTAGCTCAATAATTCAAGATTTTCCCTCAAACAGGACCGTATTGACCCGTGTAGCCCAGTTCAGCTGGCCAATGTGTGCTCTCCCGGATTTGAATATGCGGCACAATTTCTCTCTTTGACAAAATCAATTCCTTTAGTCGCAACCAATAGGTCGTGCGTATCCGATCAATACTGCATGATTCATTCATCTTGGAACAACTCATTTTTCAATCAAGCATCACCGACTACGTTGCAAATTGTCGAATAGACTGGAAAAGATAATCCTACAAGGCTGACGCTTAACAGGGAAATGAGGAGCAGCAAGACAGCGTCAATGGTCGCCTATCGCCCCTGTCCCCAAGATTTCAAACGAAATTGTACACAGGTATCCATAATAGTGGCAGTGTCAAACACCAATCTAGGTCATTGTATGACGTCACGCCTCCATGTAATCCCACAATCTAGACTCAGGTGCCGATATTGTAAACAATGATGCTGTTGTGTTGTGTTGGGCGTGTTTTCGATATTTTAAGTCACAACTTCACAATACTGTAACAATCGTGCATAAAATTGTCGCGGGAATATAGTGGGAAAACGTAGACAACATCACAACTTTTTCAATGGCTTGGCCCAAAGCCAACAGAAACAACTGCTTCACTTCAGTCAAAACAGCAGCCATAACGAGCGATCGCCGGGAGAATCCCGCGATGACAGTAACGTGGTCAGATACTATGGTGTTAGTACACTCCGATCCTGAAGTAACCAGGCTAATATAAACGCGTTTTATAAAATAAATAACTTACCAACAGTCGAAAGCAATCAGTCCGACTCCATTTCGCGCGTAGGCAGCGGGTCCCGGATGAATTAATCTTTTACGCATGCGCTAATTGACAAGTGTCTTTCTCATGTGCTATTCCCCTGAAACACGCGTTTGTGTGAACTACATATCACAATCCGGTGTTCAACTGAACAATCTTATTTTACATTTTCGTCCTTTCAGAAATAATGAGCTCACATACTAAACTTTTGTTAATACATCGAACAAAAATTCATGTAAGAATATCAAGTATTCTCACAATTCGAACAACAACAACAACGCGGACATAATCATAATTTGTTCCCGATATGTAATCTTGGCTAGAGCGTAACCTTTTTGGCCGCTGATGCATTAAGTATGCTAATGGGAAATTGTAATTAAAATTGGCGATTTCCTGTTTATTCACCATCCTATTTTTTTAATTATCTGACATTTTGCTTTCAGTGACATTGACGTATCAGCATTTGATAAAACGGAAATATGAAATGTCAATTGTATGTGGTCCACTAAAAAAAGTCAATATTTTTTGGCGATTTCTTTGTTAAGGGATTCAGAACATAATTGAATGTTCATAATTGGTGTGTCAATTTTTTATATTTAGGTTTTATTTGTTTATTTTTATGTTTTTTCTTTCCTTCTTTATTCATCTCAGCCGATACAGCATATATATATATAGTTAAACCGGTTGAGTAAATTATACAGCTCATCTTTGGACTTTTGTATATATATATATATATACAAAAATGAGGTAAATGTTCACTCGGTGTACATGTAAGATATAATAAAATAATAAAGTCCACGTTAGTCCATCATCTTCTTTATATCAGTTTTATATATATATATATATATATAATAAAATAATAAAGTCCACGTTAGTCCATCATCTTCTTAATATCAGTTTCATACATAGTACTTTCGCTCTTCAGTGTAACTGACATATACATATAATGACGTCATACACTTTATTATTTTATTATATATTACATGTACACCGAGTGAACATTTACCTCATTTTTGTATATATATATATATATATATATATATATATATATATATATATATATATATATATATATATATATGCAGGATATGTACAATGTGCTGGAATGTGAAGACAGTGTGCATCTCATACATATGCAAATATTACACATTTTAGTGTTATATGTATAGATTTAGCGATATTAATGATTAACAATTTGGATGAAATGGAAGGAATTTTCACAAGGAGCTTGTCAACAAAATTGTGGTACATGGTATTCAAGAAGTGTGCATCTTCTCACACTTATAAATTCTTACCTATAAAGTCACCGTACTGTATCAGTGAGTCTTACAGATTGTTTTTTAAACAAAGCGTGGAAGGAAGACCAGAAACTAAAAAAGTTTGCATAGTAACAATTTGCAAATGACATCACCTTCCCCATTGTCAGACACCCAGTTGTCAGACAGTGAAATATGTTTTAACTGCCACGCCCCTCTTTACTCATAACGATATGACCCAGACAGTGGCAATCTCTTTGAAGTTTTAAACGGTTAAACTGTCAATATGTTTGTTTTCATTGAAGTTTGTGATGTGGTGCTTAGAGTACAACCCGGGTCGTCTAAGTTAAATTTATCACCTCCAAGTCAACTGGCTTTTTGACAGTATGAATATACCAGTTCTCAACGGATGCGAGTGAGTGAGTATATTTTTACGCCGCTTTTAGCAATATTCCAGCAATATCACGGCGGGGGACACCAGAAATGGGCTGCACACATTGTACCCATCTCGGGAATCGAACCCGGGTCTTCGGCGTGACGAGCGAACGCTTTAACCACTAGGCTACCCGACCGCCCCAACGGATGCGAAATGTGGGGATTTGAAAACATCTCAACTCTATAGAAGGTGTCTATTTGCGTTTTTAAAATATCTTAATTTTTTAAGAAAATGTATTCCAAATTTCATGGTACATGGAACTTGGAAGACTCCATCTATAAAACATCGCTAAAATTGGAATGATAAATTTTGGGACAAAATTACTCTCCGGAAAATCATATGAATTATCCATTCTCGTATACAAGTTATTATTTAATGACGACCTATTTGGAAAAATGTAAACATTAATGGATTACATGCATCAAACAAACTTTTGACGAACTTGGACTTAGCTACATCTGGTTTTCACAAAGTTTCAGAAAATCCTACTTATCTAAATCATTTAGTCCATGAAAAATTAAATAACATTAATCTACAGTGTTGGACAAGTGCGAGAGATAAGTCTTCTATGTGTGTATATAGGATGTTTGTATGGGGGATAATATTATGAATATTATTTTCATAATTACTATTAAATGTGGTGTGTACATATATAAAATAGTGTTTTTATGAGTCTTTTAGTCTCTCGTAGGCCATTTTGGCCGGCCGCTGAATTTTTACATTCTTGCCTTGTCATTTTATATGTACAGCGGGTGACACTATAATAAAATATTCTTCTTCTTCTTCTTCTTCTTCTTCTTCTTCTTCTTCTTCTTCTAAATGTACAATGATTAGTATCATAAAAAATGGTTGCCTAAAGTTTGAATATTATTTAAACGCTCTGCAGGAAAACGTTTGACGTGTCTAACTTAAGTTTAGAACTTGTAACCACAATCTACCTAAAAAAAGCATTAAACGTCTGAGCATAATTCTGTTTATTCAAGCATTTTCTGGGACAACTCGATCCGGTTGGCCGCCTGTTACGGCAAGCATAGTCGCCTGTTACGGCAACCATGGGTTACTGAAGACCTATTCTTACCCGGATCTTCACGGGTCTAACATTTAAGGGGCGGTCGGGTAGCCTAGTGGTTAAAGCGCTCGCTCGTCACGCCGAAGACCCGGGTTCGATTCCCGACATGGATACAATGTATGAAGCCCATTTTCTGATGTCCCCCGCCGTGATATTGCTGGAATAATGCTAAAAGCGGCGTAAAACCATACTCACTCACTCTAACATTTAAGTACTGTACACATTTTGACAACTGCATATTTTGACGATGATCAATTCTAACTCGAAACGATGTCCTCGAATGGTAGATGTCACATAATATCTATAATCTACTGTATTGCTGGCAAGTTACTCCGGTACTGTAATCCGTCAGAGTTAATCACTGAATGAAAGCATTGTGTTTATTTCACCGATATCTGTGAGAATTGACAGCTGTCAACCTTACGATTAAAGTGATAACTTGCGAAATTAGGGTACAGTGAAACAGAGTACATGTACACAATAGGTTATAATGGGGCTATATACACGTACGTATAGCTTGTTTGTTTGTTTGTTTGTTTGTTTGTTTGTTGTTTAACGAATATCCAGCAATTCTGTGATTGATATTATGAATACGATGACATGCTTCAATCCAGTCACCGCGCCTGACCACCGGATCCCGTTAGTCGCCTCTTACGACAAGCATGGGTTTCTGAAGGCCAATAATAAATTCTGGACCACGCAATCCAATGATTGATATCATGGGCATCTATCTACGCAATGCCTAGGGATACGACACATGCATCAACCGAGTCACCGCGCCTGACCACCGGATCCCGTTAGTCGCCTCTTACGACAAAAATGGGTTTCTGAAGGCCAATCATAAATTCTGGACCACGCAATCCAATGATTGATATCATGAGCATCTATCTACGCAATGCCTAGGGATACGACACATGCATCAACCGAGTCACCGCGCCTGACCACCGGATCCCGTTAGTCGCCTCTTACGACAAAAATGGGTTTCTGAAGGCCAATCATAAATTCTGGACCACGCAATCCAATGATTGATATCATGAGCATCTATCTACGCAATGCCTAGGGATACGACACATGCATCAACCGAGTCACCGCGCCTGACCACCGGATCCCGTTAGTCGCCTCTTCCGACAAGGATGGGTTGCTTAAGACCAATTCTAACTCGGATCTTCACACGTCTAAAATACAACAGTAAAATATTACAAAACAGCAGTTATGATAACATTAATTAAATCATAATACAAACACACATATATATTCCATTCCTGGAACAAACAACTTACACGTGATCAGTTAAAATACTAGCACGAGCAATAATGTCTTAACGCCTTCTACTATTTTTTTTATCAAATTATTACAAAGACACGTGACATCGCCTACGTTTATGTATACGGCTGCACGCGCTTAATATGACAGCATATTTATGAGATATTGTTAATTTATGTGGATTTTTATGTGTACATTCCTCGAACAAGACGTGCATGTGCTTACTATCATAAATGCAATTTTTATCAGCTGTAGTTACAGACCCATTCTAGTTCCTTTAAACATTCTTGTGGAAATTCATCTATGCGAGATAGTAACGCCAGTAGTTTTCCCATGCCGTTTCGTTTGTAGGCTGAGAGTGCCCCCCCCCCACACACACACACACCTCACCGACTTCACGTATAACATAAGTATATTTAGGCGATGTGGGTTTTCCATGCTTGACAGGGTTTGTCAAAGGCGACCCGGGTTTGACGAGCGAACTTCTAGAGCCCATGATATGCAATGTCCATGTGGAATCATTAATTTGAAGTCAAAATAGCCCAGACTAAAATCGCAGAAAGTCTAGCAATGGTTTTCAAAATTGAGTCAAATTTATCTTCACGCGAATATGCCTATATTCTTTAATTAATTCCAAGACGAACTTTATTTTACGTTTCTTCATTAATGTTGTTTATGGTTGCCCGGACGTAGACTAACATCTAGTCTCTGAAATAAACATATTTTACAGAAAAAAACAGTTGTTAAATTATGGTTATAAAATAAAATAAAAAGGAGCCTAGAGACTTTCTTCATTTTCAGATCTCTAGACTTGCCAAACATACAGTGAGTGAGTGAGTTGGGGTTAACGCCGCTTTCAACAGTATTCCAGTTACATCACGGCGTGTCAGCTTAATGTGGGAGGAAAGCCCGAAGTGATGCAAGTCTCAGACGTTTACCACTTCCGTGAAACCCGCGAGCGCGGGTATGGCGCTGACAAACCTAGAAACATAATCGGGGCGAATCGGGACTCGAAGCAACAATCATAG